CATTTACTAACATTGCTCAAATGGTTCTGACTGACCGAACAAGATTGAAGCCAGAAATAAAAATAGTTAACCTTTAAATGGCATCTACTGTACAACCATATTTTAGATATTAATGAAAGTATACAGCAATGATAATAATGTACACTTATCAAAGTAGCGGTGTCAAGGGCAGTGTTGCAGCTGTGAAAATTTGCCCCGTACTACAGTTCAGTGTAATATTTGTCTGGTATTTCCGAGTTATTGATTCCAGAAATTAAGTATTGAAAATTGCTTAACCCTCATGGAAATACTAACTCAAATCGAGTCTGCAATTTTCAGTAAATGTTGTTGTTCTCATTTCATCCCTTCACCAGATTTTTTATCCTAATATTGCTAAAATGATTCCAGTAGGTAAGTTGGACAAAATAGTGGACAATGCTAAAGATCTTAGTTTCTTTAAGTGACATCTCTTCTGCAGTAGTTTGTAAAAATTTGCTAAAACCCTACCGAAACGATCCTTAATTAAACGATCCTTTACTACAAATTATCCCGTTTGTTCTATTATTTTATTTGACATTGTTTTTCTTTAAATTTATTTGTTTATATGTTTGCTTGATTCTTTATTTATTCATTTATTTGTTTATTTATTTTGTTTCTATGTTTGTTTGTTTGATTGTTTGTTTATTTGTTTATTTATTTATTTGTTTTTCTTTTTAAGTAATTTTCTATTTTTTAATAATTGTTTATTTATTCTTTTTAAGGTTTCGTAAACAAACATGCAAAACTCACACATGTACGGAGCCCCTAAGATGACATTTTCCACACATTTTGTTCCCGGAACTTAATTCGTTTTCACGAAATATTAATTCGTAATTACGTAATATTAATTCGTTAGTTCCTGACCAATTACAAGGCATGTAAATGCAATATAAACAATGATTTTTTTCCTCCCCAAGTTTTATAATTTAACACTTTTGTATATAAAATTAAAATAATCGCCAGATAATAGCGTTGCCGCCACAGCGCGCTAGAGGAGTTTGGTTAAAATGGGGGTCCTGTGCTTCAAATCCAAACACGGACATTTTTTTCTGTTTCGTTTTGTCGATTTTATTGAGATTTGAAATAAAATATTATGTTTTTATGATCGTACAGTGGCTATACATAAATTGTAAGGAAATATACTTTTTAAATTGATTAGATTAGTGAAAATCTGGAGCCTTCCCCCCTTTTAGTTTTACTAATGTATAATTATGATAAAAGGAAGTAATAATATAGCATGTTCTTTTTTAAAGAAACATGTCAGAAAAGATTAATCGGCTCATAAATTAAAATATTGCTGATACAATGTAGGAACATGTATTTGACAATAGGGGAAAAGAGTATATTTTGGATTGAGAATGACTTCTCACTTAAAAACCCTGTTCACTTAAATATAAGAACTTGAGAACCATTCTGCTTAAATCCAGGCTTGTAAATAACCCCTTTGTGAGATTAGTAGGCTTTTCGTCAAACGTAGGACTTTTTAAGTGTTCCTCTATGTAGGATTTATGAAGTCCTACGTAGGAGTTATAAACTCCTAATAAGGCTTTTTTATCTCCTACGTAGGACTTATAAAGTCCTACGTAGGAGTTATAAACTCCTAATTAGGCTTTTTTAACTCCTACGTAGGAGTTATAAAGTCCTACGTAGGATCATAATTAGGCTTTTTTATCTCCTACGTAGGAGTTATAAAGTCCTACGTAGGAGTTATAAACTCCTACGTAGGACTTATAAACTCCTACGTATGAGTTATAAAAACCTACGTAGGACTTTATAAGTCCTACTTCGGAGTTACAAACTCCTAATTAGGCTTTTTAATCTCCTACGTAGGAGTTTATTTTTTTATAGAACATTATAAATTGGCACCAGGACGCTTCCGTAGGAATAAGTTTTTATGTCTCTCATCTTAAAAAAGACTGGTGTAGTATTGTAATATGATAAAAGTAGATAAAATTATACCAAAAAAGACTGGAGTCTTATAAACTATTTGGCTCAACTTTTCAAAGGATAGTGATGCTACCCTTCTTCTCTTGGTGTCAGTGTCCTTGTTAGCATCTGGTAAAAAATGGGGGAGGGGGCAGCATCTAACATGTACAGCATCACATTTCATGAACCACCAAAAATTAGTGCTTGTAACTTTGGAAGTGTTTTTATAGATCCTCCGTAATAGGAGCCAATAACTCTAGCATTGTTATTGAAAGAATTATGGACAATTTTGAAGCAAAGAAATCTTGCTTCAAGTTATCTATGTAATATCGATAAAGAATACTGATCATGTATAATAATATGTCTTCATTTGTAATAAAACACTTGACTTCGGGATCATAATATGATGTCACCTTTCAAAAGACAATTTATCAAAAACCGTAACTCTAAGGTGGGTTTTATTAAATTATTGACCTTTGTGAAGTTTCTGAAGGTATTTACATTTATCGTAATAAATGTTTTGATTAACATAAATAGATGTAACTATCCAAAGACCACTACACTAACATTTATTTTGACAGATTGTATGACCTTAAATTTGTAAGGACGGAAAAGTTTTGGTCAAAGGAACTTCACTGAGGACCAAAAGCCTAAAACAATAAAATTTGAATCTTTCTTACATATATGAACTTGGACACTCAAATCAGTAATATACGCAAAAGTTTATTATAAAATATACTCAGAAAAAATAAAAGTAATATTTTTGTGCTATTTTAATCTGATTTGAGTCAACAGCCATGCAACGTTTTTCATTTTTGGTCATTTTCAACAATAAGAATAATTTTTCTGGGAAAACAGAGAGAGCAAATGATCTGAAATTGTACGTACAAGTTATTGGGCAAGACCTAAATCTTATTGAACATTCATCTCGAGAAATTATTAGCACTGTCATGTCATCTCATTGGAGTCCTTTAAGGCTTAGTATGTAGCATCAATTTTTCGAACAACTGAAGGTGTTAATTTGAAACTAAATACAAATATATATTTATTCACTGAACCACTTCAATCTAACATAGAATAAAACTGAGTAACTGTCCTTTTTGTGAAGTTTGAATTATTTGTTAAAGCTTTGCAAGCAACATCAATCTCTAGAACGACATGTTTGTACTGGTGGTATTAATTTAAAACTTTAACAAAAAAATCAGTTTTTGACAGAAAGCAGAAAATATTCACTTGGGGACCATACGCCGCTTTTCATGGAATGACACTACTGTGGCACATTGAAGGTTCCATGATAACGGCCGTATGAATACATCTCCGGATGTTTTCAAATTCAAAATTCACCATTTTTGTGTAATTGTTGGATTCTGCTTAAGCCGGTGCTAGGGGGCGTGGACGGTGACTTGCACTTTCCAGTACCGTCCATGAACAGGCTCAATCAATCCGAGCCTGCAACATTTTACAATTTTGCCGTGTTTGGCTTTCTTTAGAGATTTTGTTTTTCTCTATTTGATTTTGAGTCATTAGAAATGAATCTATTTGTGGCAGGAGAATCGGATTTCATTTCTCAATCAACAACAAAAAAGAAAGAAAAAGAAGCTAGATAAGAATAATTGAAACGTTTAATGTATTTCTATTTTAAAATCATTATACGCAGCTATTTTGAGGAAAATTTAGTTAGGACACAAAAAGTGGAGGGATGACTATCATTATGTAGAATCCAGCGTTTTAGCCAGACCTTTTTTGAAAAAATCAACCAATTTGTCTAAACGAATGAGATATAAAGTTAAGAAAGATGTAGTTGCCGAAGAAAAAGTCTGGTTTTTACCTTAATAGAATAAATGAGCCGCGTCATGACAAAACCAACATAATGGGTTTGCGACCAGCATGGATCCAGACCAGCCTGCGCAGTCTGATCAGGATTTAGCTGTTCGCTTACAAACCCTATTACAAGTAGAGAAAGTTCAAACTGATAGCGAACAGCATGGATCCTGATCAGACTGCGCGGATGCGAAGGCTGGTCAGTATCCATGCTGGTCGCAAACCCATTATGTTGGTTTTGTCATGACGCGGCTCAAATGTCTTCATAAATCTGCTTCTCATTTAATGGTGGTAAAGGGAAGACAAAGATTGACATATTTCTGGAACTTGCTGGTTGATGGACAACAAGAAACTAGAACATCCTGAATGTTCTAGTGCTTGTCCACATAGTCAAAAGGGACTGAGAACAGGCTTTTCAAGACTTCGGGGATATGTTAATCAAATGAGAAAGCTGTTGATATTTTTTCCCAAAATATTGTCAGGTTGAAATTGAAAAAATTATAGATGATCAGAAAAATGTTGTTGTAAATGTTCCTTTATGTAGTCATTCTAAAAAATGTAATATTTATAGAGTCACAAAATTAATGAATCTATTAATGGAGTTGATTTACATGAAAAAAGTTAAAAGTTTAGGCTTGCCTAATTTTATAGGTTGTCGTATTCGTATAACCAATAAAATAAATGTTGAGTTCTGGAACAGAATGTTAACTGGTTATAAAGATACTATGGTTGTAGATTTATTATTATATGGTTTTCCCTTAGATATTCATGGTAATGTTAATTCATTCACTAAGGAATTATGGAAATAAAAGAATCATAAAGGTGCTGATTATTTCCTTCTGATATTACAGGTTACTTAGGGAAAGAAAGATCTAAATAATCAATCATTGGACCTTTTAAGTCCAATCCTTTTAGTGACTCCATGAACATATCTCCTCTTAATTCAGTTCCCAAAACAAAGATACGTCTGAAAGAAGAGTTATTCTTGATTTAAGTTTTCCTAAAGATTTTGCTGTTAATTATTTTATTAGTAAAGATTTTTATTAAGGGGAAGAAATTAATTTAGTATTTCCAAGGATTGGTGATTGTATAAATTTGATAAAGGGTTAAGGTAAAAATTGTTTAATGTATAAATTAGATTTACGTAAAGCATATAGACAGATATAAAATATGTCCTAGGGATTATAATTTGGTGTGTTACCAATGGAATAAAACATATTTTTGTAATACTGTGTTATCAATGGGGTTGAAAAATGCTGCAGCCATTTGTCAAACGGTTACTACTGCTATATAATTTTTTTGATGTTTCGTTTAGGAATGCCTATATTAAATTATTTAGATGATTTAGCAGGTGTTGAAACTAATGATAAAGCTCAGTTTGCCTTTCTTTGTTTAAGAAACATATTTAAGGAGGCAGGTTTAGAAGAATACATTGATAAAGCTTGTACGCCCTATGAAAATATGGTGTTTTTAGTGGTTTTGTTTAATACAAACTCCATGACTATGTAGGTTACTCGTGAAAGGTTAGATGAAATTATAACTCTGATAATTTCATGGTTGCATAAATCAAAATCTACACTTAGAGAATTACAATCTCTTATTGGTAAACTTAATTTTTTGACAGCCTGTGTAAGGCCAGGTCGTATTTTTATTAGTAGATTGTTGAATTGGTTATGTCAATACATTATGTCAATCCACATCCGGAAAGTGAAATTCCTGATCATGTTAAAACAGATTTGCACTGGTGGAATCGGTTTTTACCTGTTTATAATGGAGTATCCATTATGTTGTTGGGTTCTTTGTCTTATTATGGAAATGAATAGATGCTCGGTAAGTGGTCATTTTGAGAAATTGAATAAAAAAACAGGTCAAAAGACAAAGTTCAACTTTGGGATTTTCTACAACAAAAATGTGTCGATGATATTAGATAAGCTGTTATACTGTAGTTACAGTGGCGACACCTTAACAGGAGCGGCCAAATTCATATCATCAACAGGCATTTCTTATTCCTTTTCCACTGCAGGCATATTACCTTCCTATTCAGGGGTGAATTCGATAGCATGTTTTAATTAACTTTAAGTAGAAACATTAGAGAATTACGTTTTGTTTACATTATTATATTAACCAATAGTCAGGTATTGGTCATGGCCGTCTTTGTGTACTACCCGAGTTAAAACAAGGGCATAACAGTGCTACACTATTACTATAAAACAAGGCATGTTGTCATAGGCCGTTGTGTGTCAAAGCAGGATCAGTCATAATGTTTCGAGACTGCAACACCACTGCTCTTGTGTATAATAACACAGATCCATTATTAGGATGACACAGGAAAACGTTTGTTCACGCACGGAATCGTATGAATTCTCAGATCATTCCTTTTGTTTTATAACATGTTCAAGGTATCAGCTGTGGCAAAGCTTTTTGTCATGTGTTTAAGAAGGACAACGCATTACTCTATCTGGATTTCTAATAGGTCACTTGCCAGAGACCAATTTAAACTACGGCCTGATCACCGCTTCAATAAAACATAAACGCTTTTCGACATATGAACGGTAAACATACATTTATAATACTGTGCAACATATGTTTAAGCAAATATGCCTTTTTTTAAATCGATAAATACGAACAGTACGAAATTTAACAAAACATCTTTACATATATATTGACGATAAGTTTAAAATTTCCGATGATTCTATGAAGCTAATATACGAGAAATGAATCACGTTTTTTGTCGTAAAGCTTTTTGTTTTTGACTCCTTCGTATATCGTTTATTTCTCTTCTTGCCAAGTCTTTGCAGACGTCTCTATTCACTTCTTCAATGTTTTCATGATCTCGTTGAAGAAAACAATTATGAACAGTAATTCCGGGATATTGCTTTTTGAATTGATTGTCATTTAAATTGATATTTGTATCTTCTTTTCGATAATGGAGCATTATTAGGATTATTCGTTTCTGCTGCTCACCTACAATTAATTATCATAAAAAAGGATTTAAAAAATTGTGACAAGTATTATATAAGAAAATGTTAAAACATATCTCACAGTTGTTTTTATACACAATATTAGGCTTTTTACATTGATGAAAAAGCCCATTCGAAAATTTTCTAAAGTGTTGTCATTATCACAAAGGGATCATCTTATTTCAGCATTTCAAGATTGAAGAATCTCATTTGTGAAAAATGAAATATGAATAGTAAAGAAAGGCATCTTACTAGTTAAGTTTGCTAATGTGAAGTTAACATCAGCTTCGATCCTAGAGTGCCGTAAACATAATGCAATGATAGGACTGTCACCGCCCTCTTGAAATTCGTCGTCAAAACAATCTGTAATTGGCGTGTAATATCCTTTTCTGAACAGATACTGTCTAAGGTTCTCTGAATAGGTAATTGTTCTGTTCGATTTCCAAACGTCATAGATAACACCCCGTGCACCTGAATTAAAAAAAAATAAAAACAACCGCTTATGTGTGATGTTTTCACATATCTTTTTTCTATTCTTCGAACATGTAGTATTTCGTCACCTTTTATAAATTCAACAGTTGAATAGGATTTGACATTAAGGAATATGGTACTTAATTAAAACACAACTAATTATATAGGAACACACTGCTGATAGTAAATTAGCAACATAGTTTTGATATCAAGGAAACGTTCATCGTTATGTATGACAACAAATCATTAGATCGCTTGTCACTGCAATTGCTTGGCCTACAATCACTTTTGGGAAAGATAAATATTACATTGTGAATTTGATAGGCTTTTTTAAGAGTGTTGAAGTTTTTTGAAAATAACTTCTTATTTTTACGCACAAATAGGTATACTTCCATGATTAAAAACAGTTGTAGCATAAGTTTATCAAAGTTTTAAATAGTGCGTAAATACATTCTGGCACATAATTAATGTAATTTGAAATATAGCATTTGACACTTTGAATAATAAATTTTGTTCTTCTATTGTTAACATGCTGTTCGATTATGAGATTATGACGAGGTTTCTGTTTGGACTAGGCTTCAATAATGGAAGTAATGGTTTCATTTTCTCTTTAGCAAAATAAGACTTTAAAAAAAAGAAATCATTTAATACCTTCATCATGTTCTACTGCAATAGCCGTCTGTCCGGTACAGCTAAAGAATAGATTACCCATTATCTGAAACAAAAATGATAAAGTGATAGTTTAAATAAAATTTTGGAAACATTATGAAATATTTAAACTTCCATATTTCACGTGTATATCAATTAATATTTGTTTTCGTATTCGGTTTCTTTTGACATTTGTGCAACTACTCGTATCATATAACACTATAATAATCAGCTGAATTGAGACCGAGACAAACGTTTGTCGTAGTCACACCGATTTATTACATGATTCACCAAAGTTACTCTGATTATATCATAAAACTTATCTGAATCATATTTCATCTACCTAATTTTCATAATTATACGACACTCACTAGTTGTTTGGCAAATGTCTCAGGTACACTAGTACCGAATGTGAAAACAAACTTTTAAATCGTTATTATATTTAAGGATATTTAAGGATTGATCATTTATTTCTCGGCCCGATGTACTTCCAGTAGTCAGAAAACCCAAATAATGGTCTTATTTTTCAATAAAATCGCCATCAATGCACTTTGTCCACCTGTGCTCCAACTTGTTTAAAATACATTAGAAAAAAACAGAATCCCTAAAGAAAGCCCAAACACGACAAAATTGTAAATTGTTGAAGGCTCGATTTGATTGAGCCTATTCATGGCTCAATCCCTTCAAAACAGAACTCTCTATTTTTGTCCTCAAAGAACTCATTAATCGCCTCCATAATACCTTCATTGATTTCAAAACATCTAGCACGAAGCTTGTTTTTCAGTTTCGGAAACAGGTAGAAGTCAGAGGGGGCCAAGTCTGGAGAAATAGGGGGATGGGGAAGAATTTCAAAGCCGCAATCAGTTGCAACAGCCATCGCAACTTGGGATGTGTGAGACTGTCGTGTAGGTGCAGAATGCCTTGAGTCAGTTTGCTCCTCCTTTTACGCTCGATTTCTTGACGCAGACGTCTCAATTTGTCTGCACAGTTCGTAACGATTATGGTACGACTTTGCTCAAGACAGTCAATTATGATTATATGGCATCGATGTCTGAACTGAACCGAACCTTATACCCACTTCCCTAGCAATGCTTTGCAGGTCTCGCTTTGTGTCGCACATGACCAGATAATTTCAACGTGGGTTGCCTGGTTTGGCCGCCCAGGCCGCTCATCGTATCCAATGCGCTCCCTGCCCCTCTTAAATTCAGCATCCCATATTCTTCACAGTGCTATAGGAAGGGGACTCCTTCCCAAGTGTATCCATGGGTACATCTCTTTCTTACAGAGGTTCTTAATGACGGCTCTGATTTCAACTTTCTCCATTTGGTCTAAATGACACACCCCTCTACTGTCAAAGTGTGTTTTATGTTTACTTTATATGTGTAAAACCGCGTGTTACTCGGTGAGTAATCTTGATATCGGTGATATCGGTATCGACGTATCGTGTGTAAATGTCAGTGTAGTGGCTAAAAGTATATCGGGCCGAGAACTTTTTGATCATACCTCGTATTCTCAACGACAAAAGACACAAGTTGCGTCAGCGAATGATCCTTAAATGTTTATTATTTTCTTGATATATTTCTAATTCTGGTTAAAGTGTTATTTCATACCAACCGTATGTGTCTATTCATTTCTTGTAATTTGATTTACAATAAAACATGTTGGTCAGTTTACTTTCCCCATATTTTCACATTGAATATCTATGGTGTAAACATTTCATATAAAGCATGCTTATATTCTGCGGAAACAAAAAAAAGTTAAGAAGTACTGAGGTACGGCCATTTTTGGTGAATTCTACTCTCGCGAGATAAATTAGTCTGAGACAGTTTCCAAATATTATAGAAGCGTGCGCTTAAAATAACATAGTTTAAACTCTTTGACACACAATTATCTAAAATATTAAACATTCGAGAATGGATGTTGACAAAAGCATCGATATCGTGTATATGAAAAAGTTAGATCATTTATTTAACATTGTCACGTGTCACATCAGAGGTTTAGAAAAAACCAGGAACGTATATCAATGTTTGTTAAGGAGTAGGCCCTTATCATATTTCAAGCTAATGTTTTAAACAATACATTTGTCATCATCTATAGGAATAATTTATCAATTATAATTATATAGTGCTACAAATTACTACAAATATCAAAAGCAAAGCAGTTTAATCTTTTCCCTCTATGTTTCATACGATCCCGGATTCCATGCGTCGTGATATTGTCCATTACCATCACGTGGTACTAGAAAAACCCCGGATGAAATAATTCCGTAGTATGATAAAAGAAGGTACATCCCCGTTAGCAAAAAAGCGTTCGTCTGTTTTGAGAGCGAAGATTGTAAAATATGATCATTTAAAGTGTCATTTCGATTTATTTGCAGTATAAAATGTTTTTGAAGAGGGATTTTAAATATTAGTGAAACTGTAGTTTTATGTTATTTTCAGGAGGCGTGCTGCTTTAAATTGGTGATTCATGACATTGTTCTTAGGTTAATGAATAAATAATATTAACATTTAATTAATCTGTCAAATTTGAAATTACATATATCAACACTTACCTAACAGGCTAAACTCCAGGGTGTTCATGTATGTCATTTATCAGAATAATCACATTTGCCCCGCACCTAATCAGTAAAAGGAAGATAATAGAAAAGTAAACAGCAAACGTAAAATGTACCATAATCAGGTAATTTTAATCACAGTTTCTGTTTTAAACCTCTTTGTTCTGATATTTAAAATAACTTCAACACATTACTTGAACCTTTGTCTTCATATGAGTTGTCAAAAATGTGTATTCGACCTACTTTGTCGCAAAAATAATATTTTACAATGTAATGATAATATAATGATAATATTTAACAAGGATGAAATCACTCTTACACATAGCCGTTTAAATTCTTCATAAAGTGATTGTGTATGGTTATTGCTAACTTATCATAATTTAGTATGAACTCCAAATAGGTTTCCGATATGGTATCTGTCGGCAAGATTTTAGAGGCATGTATTTACTATATACATGTACTTTAACATGTGCACGTCCAATCCTTTAATTTACTTTACAAGGTTAGACGATAATATAACCAAATCGCACAGTATTATCTCTTGATTGATTTCTTTTTGTTTCTATTATTTATTTCTAAATGCATTTTCAATTAATTGGCCTTTTTTCAACTGTCCTTTTTCAATCGGTATATAATTGATATTTAAAACCTTTGTCAAAACGTTTCTATGTGTGCTAAACTATACTATAAATGCAGCAAATTAATTTTGTCAGAAAAAAGGAGTACTGTTAAAATGTAAACGTTTTCTTCAAATTGCTTCTTTCAAATGCATGTATTGCTTATTGCTTCAAGCAATTTTAACTTTTATGGTGACTTACATGTATGTCTGTATTATGAAGATTACTGTACTTATTATCATACACTTTCTGATAATTGTGGAACTACGTTTAGCTATGCCTGAGATGCGGACGAGAGGAATGAGATTTCTTTCTAGAAAGCAGTTTCTTGAACCCTTGAAACAAAATGTCAAATGACTCAGGTCAGTTGAAGAAAGCAAATTCTTGCAACTTTTTTCAAAAGCCAGTAACGCAAAAATTCTTCTACTGTACACAAAGATTGAACACCGACCTTCTGTTTCCTTGTTCCTTGTTAGTGTAAATCTCACAAGTCTTTCATGTTATGCGTGTCTTGTTCATTGTACGTTTTAACTGTTTATAAGTTGACGACGCCCAGTAGTAACGAGGCAGAACATTTAAACCTTAGCACAGGAAATTGGTAAGATTTTGACTCCATCATTTTATTTTTTGATTGATTGTTTAAAATCATTAATTGTTTTACTATTATAGTTAGTTTTATTCCGAAATAAAAATCATTTGGTGAAATTTTAAGATCAGATATTCATTATAAATTTGTTCTGACATATGATTTAGGTCTGGAATGGATGAGAAAAACTTAATGTAATGCATCGTCATTTTTATCTAACGATTCAACGGGCGAACACAGAATATGGGGTTGACATGTAAAGTAGACACAATTTAGGGTAAGTACAGGATATGTGTACTCTTTCGTGGCCGGGGTGCTGGGGACCTCCCCTGGGAAATTTGAAAAATGAAGGTCATAAATGGTGAATTCTGCTGCATTTTAGGGACGTTCTTGTTTCATTCAATTTACCACAATTTAACAAACAACAGAGAACAAGATTATATTCACCTTTAAAAAACTTTAATACTTTAATACTTCAATATTTTAATGCTAAAATATCAAGGTGTAAGTAATTTATCTACTTAGAACTACAAATCACTAATTGACAAACAGTCCCTATAAAAATTCATATAAAGCATGCTTATATCCAAGTTTAAACTTGTTAAACTCATCTAATACACTGAGTTAAAAATGCTAGCACAATAATATAAATAATGTTTCTATTTTTTTTTTTTTTTTTTTTTTTTAATATTTCGAACAAAAATAATTGAATAGTAATTAAATTTGCTTGAGTTCAGAAATGTTTTGTTTGTTTGTTCCAATGTTAACATGAAGGGGAAAAAGTATATACACAACAGAATTTTAAAGACAGATATATCGTGCTCTTAAGTAAATTGTATATTCTTAAAAGAACTGGTAAAAATTTAGAGGTAAAAATAGAAAATAGATATTAATGTAAATAATAATTGACTTGAGCTGTATTATTTCATAATTATCTTTGAAAATTTTATAATACTTTTTTTTGTACTTATATACATTTATATACACTTAACCATAGCACTTACATATATATATACATTTTATCAAAGACATATTACACATATATTTTATTAAACGCATGTACAAAATGTACAGTTTTTCATACAATGTAACCCAAAAGTAAATATCTAGCCATCTTTGACATCACCTACTATTTTCGTTTTCATAATGTCAACCATAATATCAATTAGCTCAGTTTGAGTAGATTTTGACCTGAATGTTGCATTTTAGGAGCCGTATCAAATATTTATTCAACAATGATTCTAGCGTCAAGTCTGAATTATAGCTGTTCTTGAAAATTCCCTCTGATCGTCTTCATGTATAAACTTTGTCATGATGACCACTACTTTGCTGTCCATCCGAGCATGCTATCCATTTTCGACATCTTTCATGTTTCTTTTCTGCTTTTTGAAATGGTCATTTCCAGTTCCAGAAAGGCTGTGATGCCATCTGACCACGCTTTCAGTTGACTCCTGGAAATGTCACACAATGTACACAGTGTGCAGGATCTTAACTTGCACTTTACACCAGTCCTGAACACTTTGTGAGCCAAGCTCTCTGAAAGGACCGGTTGAAATGGCCACACTCAAATTCAAATTTTAGAGAAATACTGTAACAACAGTATTCAATTTGTCTAAAACGATAATTATCGTCTTTCCCCGTTTTTGTCATTTTTCATCGGCTTAAATCAGCATTGTCTGCAAAGATGGATTCGAAAGTGAAATACATTGTTGATACCGATGCAAGAAACATCACTAGGCAAATAGAGAGCTAGTATCAATTGCATCTCATACATCTTATCTCATCAGTAGCAGCTCATACCACCTATCAACGTGAATTAAAATGGGAAAATATGTGCTCGATGGATACCCTGTTTACGGACAGATAATCAAAAATGATTCGCGCGCAATACGCCAGGTTGTTGCTTAAATTTTACAAATACCATCACTGGTGACGAAACATTTTTTTCATTTTTATGAGCCAAAACGCAGTTACTTACTCGTACACAAGATTTGTGATAAATAATTCTAAAACCTTCAGTCTGAAAAGAGTAGTGTATCGCATGTTCTTTATAACTCAGCCCCCCCCCCCCCCCCCATTCAGGTTGTGTTTCCTAAAGGCAAATCTGTTACTGCGAAAGAAAATGTTCTCCGAAAACAAAACAATACTTGAATGAAAATGAAGATTTGCCTCATGTTTGGCCTCTGGCTACAATTAATTTGTATTTCGAATTTGTGATTTTCAGTCGTAAATTATCTTCGTTATGATAAAGGGAAATTTGAAACCAAAATTAGATCAAAAGTATTCAAAAGTAAAAGAAATTGTCCTATAATAATGTGCCATATAGTACATTAATCAATAAATTTCTTTATTCTGTAAAACAAAAACAAAACAAAAAATATACTGTACTAAATATTTAACAAAAGTTCTCATGATTTTAGGTTATTGTTATTATTTCAAATCGAGAAGAAACCAGTATCTGTAACAATTGCTACTCTTTGTGTCATTATAAATTTATTTTTTCAAGGGAAATTAAATTATGACAATTGAGGTTTATGACATTGATGGAAAAAAGTTTTGTCAGTCATTATGGTCAATTACTTATCGAAAATTAAACTACATGTACATTGAATCACATGCATGTTTTGATGATGAAAAAAAAAAACATTGTCGGGCGAAGTTAATAAACAAGTGAGACTATGTACAGTGAAAATGAGTTGTGTATTGTTAAAAACAATTTAAACAAAAGACATGCTAAACAAATATCAAATTAAGACCGAAGATATCACCAAGAGGCAAAAATGATTTTTCCATATCGAAGACACTAAAACTCAACTTCTCCAAAGAATGGGAGATAGAATTTATAATGAAACATTTACATGATAATTGACTATATAATTTATTATAACTGAATCATAAATTAAACAGTTGAACTAAATTAATATGCGTGATTCGTGTCCAAAAAAACTTAATGATAGGATGTAATTCGAATGTAATGCAGTTAATCTGTGTAAAATTAAAGCCATTTTCATGATCATATGCTAGTGTTCTTTCAGTGAATTTATTAATACAAAGTATGTCGTTTTATTAAAGGTGAATATTATAGGTAAGTATTAAGGCAATCTCATTTACGCAGTGAAACTATTCTTGTAAAGATGATTACATAAAAACAGGTTGAAAACTGCGTAATAAAATTATTTTTAAAAATTGCATGATGTTAGACTATGACTACAGAAACGTTTTATTGGGGCACATCCTCTTTCTCTTTGATCACCATCAAAGTATCCAGACGTATATATTTCGACTCGTCATGTGGCTTACTTCCTTTACAGTGAAATGTGTATTTATTTTGTCTTCTTAGCTTACAACATGCCAATTTTATCCTTTACAGTGAGAAGTGTATTTATTTTGTCTTCTTAGCTTACAACATGCTAATTTTATCCAAAAGGCTTCAAAAATGCTCAGTCTACATACTCAGTTTGAATAGTTAATGAACGGCAATGTTTAATTGAATCCAAAAAATCTTATTTTGGTTAAGAATAAAACAAAACAAAAAAAAAATCAAAATATGGTGCATAAATCATCTTCCCTGGGAATGACCTGAGAGTACAAAACAAAGCTAGTTTATGTGCATAAATCCCTGCCTTTCCCATATTTCTTGAGAGGTCAAAAGTGCCATAAAACCTTAATGACTACTGTTAATAATCGTTACTGATTCATTTTCCTCCTGTCTTGTGCAAATATATGAAATTTCATGTCTATAACTGTGGATTTGTATTTTGAATTTAATGAAACATAAAGAGGGATTTTCTATCAAAAAAGGCTATGATAGTATCATTAGATATTGGAACATGCTTTGGTAATTCTTTTCATGGTAAAAGGATACTCATGTCAGTAAAAGTGATTGCAATGACGCCATACAGATCTTAATACACGGTAACATTGAAGTAATAAGCAATGCAACATCAAAGACTACCATAAAATTAGAGTTGTGCAGTGTAAAGCTAAGGTACAGAAAATAGTAACTTCATCTTTATATGATAAAAGAAAATAGTGCTCAATATAAGACATATTTGCCTA